GGGGGGGGGGGGGGGGGGGGGGAATCGTGTTATTTTTAAGGACACAGAATAATCGGCATTTACACTTTGTTTTATTTTATTTTATTTTTTTTGAGTCGAGGTCTCACTCTGTTCCCCAGGTTGGAGTGCAATGGCACGATCACATGCAGTGTGATCCCCCCCCCGCACCCCGCCCCCTTTTCTCTTGTGTCTCATTCTTTCCATTCTGTAGTTTACTCCCCACTCATTGTTGATTCGATGAATGGCCTCTGGTGTATCACTATTCTACCTTACCAGCCTCGCCAGGGCCCCTGCACAGCCAGGGTCCTCTGTGACTCCAAGCCTTTCGGATCCTGGCTTTCCCTCTAAGGGACTGTCCTGTTCCCGGCCAGATGCCCCGGCCGCGGGCCGCGTCCTTCGGGTGCGAGCTGGCCCCGAAGCACACATATCGGGGTGGCGGGACGCGCGCCCAGGGAGGAGCCGGCGGGAGGGCTCAGGCTGTTCCAGCTTCGTGAGCCCGGGGCTAGGGCTGGCCCGGAGCCCAGAGGCAGGAGGCAAGCGGGCAACACCCCCGCCGCGGCTCGGGGAAGAGAGACATCAGCCCAAGCGAGGACACTCGGAGCCCGAGCTGCTGCTGCGGTTGGGACAGCTCCTTCCAGCGGGCGCGGTGGCCCCCGGGAGCAGCTCTCCGGAACCCGGTGCGTCCAGGGGCACTCCCGGGACTGAGAGGGGTTGGGACAGTGTTGCAGAGCCCTGAAGGAGAGCCTGCGTGGTTTCTGGCGGTAGAGCCAGCCAACCGCTGAGCTTTCAGTCACCGCCACCCCAGCTTCCCCGGCTGGCATTCAGCCTCCAGGTCACAGGCGCGGGGGGGGGGGGGGGAGGACTCTCCCAGGGAGACGAGCATCTGAACCTGGCCCAACCTAGTGGGGTTTGCTTGAGGTCGCAGAGGCATGGAGGACTGACCCAGCCCGGACGGGAACGGGGCTGGAAAGTCCCGGAGCGCCAGGCAAGCCCGGGACCGCCGTCAGGGGCGGAGCGGGGTGTGGGGGGCGGGTGCTGTGAGCGGCTGCTAGATTCCGAGGCCCTCGCGGGGGCCTGTGTTGGTTTCTCATCGGAACCAGGAGCTTTCTGCTCTACAGCTACCTGGTGTCCCGGCCTTATCTCCAGAATCCCTTGGGGCGACCTTCTCGGTGCAAACCTCTGATTCTGTTTGGCAGGATCTCCCCGGAAAAGCTGTCAAGAACTGCAGGTGTTAGCCCTGGACAGGGAGGACCTGCGGGCTCCGTGGAGAGCTGCGCCTGGGGAGAAGGACGCTGGTAGGACTAAAATCAGGACTGCCTTCTGGCTCTGTGACCCCATGCTCCTGTCATGGCTAACAGGACTAGGGGCTGGAATCGTCTTCCTGCACTTCGTGCAGAAACTCTTGTTCCCTTACTTTTGGGACGACTTTTGGTTCCTGCTGAAGGTGGTGCGCCATGGAATTCGGCTGGAGATGTACAAGCAGAGAGGGGAGCTGGTCACCGTCCTGGATAAATTCCTGAGCCGTGTCCAAAGGCGCCCCCAGAAACCTTTTATCATCTATGAGGGAGACATCTACACCTATCAGGATGTGGACAAAACGAGTAGCAGAGTGGCCCACGTCTTCCTGAACCATTCCTCTCTGAAGAAAGGGGACACTGTGGCTCTGCTCATGAGCAATGAGCCCGACTTCGTCCACGTGTGGTTCGGCCTGGCCAAGCTGGGCTGCGTGGTGGCCTTCCTCAACTCCAACATCCGCTCCAACTCCCTCCTGAACTGCATCCGCACCTGTGGGCCGGCAGCCCTCGTGGTGGGCGCAGGTAGAGTACGGGGTGTGCTTGTGCAGAGTGATGTGGCGCTCTTTCCATACCTACCTGCTCCCACGCAAGACGAATCTGCGTAGACCATTTAAGATGATAAGAAATAAGTACATGTCTCATATTTCCATTCCACTTTGCTAAGCAGTCCACCTTCCTAGACTCTTTGTTTAGACACTAAACCAACGACTTTTCTTTGCAGTTCGGTGTAAACATGTGCACACAAAGACATTCTAACACCATGGTGGGGAAGTGGAAGAAGGGTAGAACTTACTGAGAGAATGAAAATGATGTGGAGAGGCCTGGAGTGCGGTGTGGTTGTGCAGGCAACCTGCCTGCATTCTTGCCTCCTTCTTCTTTAGAATAGCTCATCACTAATACTTTGGGCAGGTGACGAAGGGTGTGTGTTTGGGGTCTGCAGTAGTATTATGGTTCTGTGACTAGTGGTTTAACACCTGTTATCCCCCCCTTCAAGCACTTACTCTGTTGCAGGTTAGTAAATAGCAAGATAGTTTCAGCGAACTTTTATGAAATCCTTACTTCCTATCATTTTGGGAAGGAGCCGATTTTATTGCTATTAGTACTTCAATGAGTGCAAGGACACAAAGGTATAGATCTTGGTCAATTCTGAATTTTATCAGCTCAGAAATTGATGAGTAGGAAAGTTATCATACTCCATTGTAGAATATCTACCTCTTAATAGTAACTTTATCAAGGGTGACTGCATTTACAGAACAGATATGTTTAATCAGAAGTTCATGAATTCCTGTCTTCATGTCTGCTCTTATTTCACTGTCTGCAAGCTAGGATTTGCCTAGCAAGATTGGGCTCCCACTAGCAAGCCAGTAGGCGGGCTCTTGGCAAACTCTAGGCTTCTTTCTCTCTCTTCCTCTGCCCCTATCTGTGCGTCATCTTCTTTCTTTCAATAAGTTCTACCTTTCCTCTTCCCCCCACCTTGGAGGTAGAATGCCTTTGCGTGCACATGTTTACACTGAACTGAGAAGAAAAGTCTTTTATTTAGTATCTAATTAACAAAGATAATCTTAAATGGTTTAACGAAGATTCCTCTTGCACGGTGGTAGGTAGGTATGGAAATAATAGGATCCATGCAAGGGCCATAGTGAACATACTTAAGTATTTTAGATTATAGAAATAGATGCATATTGATAACCCATATAAAGCTTTTAGACACAGAGCAGTATGGAAAAATAAGTTTATACAATGGTGATCTTTGTGGTATAGAACTTTCCAGGTAACCTTTATCATATAGTATTTTCACATCACACAAAAATGAGTTAGACAATATACAGAAAAAGAACTAACTCTTCAAGGCTATCACTCTTTTTAGTTCTTGTTGTCCTTCTAGCTTAACTTGTGCCTTGATAAAGTGGTAAAAATGTTTACTCTCAAGCAATGATTTTATCTTGTTTAGGCCACAGGAGTAGAGGATCCATGAGCACATGTAAATCCCAAATTGTGCTAAAAATTGATAAAACCATAAATTCCCTTTAAAGTGCAAACTAAGAGATAAATATAGTATCTCTAAAAAGATTTCTGTGACCATGATATTGAGGCCAATCTGAGAAGCATCCCAAAGTTGGTCTTGTGAGGATTCTTCTTAAAGTGCATAGGGCTGGTTAACTTTCACAATAGGGCATTCATACTTTGCTGTTGACTGAATTGATACTTAATTAGGACCAATTAATTTTGCAGTCTAACTTGTGCCAGCTTTTACTTTGTTTGCCAATAACTAATTGCATTGTTTCCTTGTTTTTGTTTTTAACACCAACAGTCAGTTGTTGCATTTTAAAAAAGTCACTTTGGAATGCTGGAGTTTTAAGCCAAGACCATTTAGTCAATTGGCTCAGTAAGTAGGTCGCTGGAGAAACCAACCATTCCTTTTGACATACCACCATATATAAATTAGATATATGTTTTTCAAAGATGGAGCAATTCTATTTTGATTAATAGATTTTTTTTTTGTAAAATGTAGGTTACTTATATCATGGTAAATTTTCTGTATTTTAAGCTCTTACTCCAAAATATTGTATTTTTGGCACCTTGAGTATCATTGGTGAGCAATATATACATATTATTTTTAGAACTTTAAATTTCAGATTTTTTGAGTTATTACTAGATGCCCTTTTATAATGTACTATTATAATGTACTATTAAATCATTATGTTCTCCAGGGAAAAACAAGTCAAGGTTCAGACAGAGATAAGCCAGACAGATCTGTATATTATATGTGATCTGACAATTGCTAACTATGAAGTAAAAGAAAACATCACTTACCCTGGATCTCACTTTACTTAATTTTAAAATGGTGATAATACCATCTAGTTCACAAATACCATCTAGTTCACAGTGTAATTCTGAGGATTAAATGAAATAACTTTTGTAAAGTGACTAGTTGAATGCCTGGTATGTACTAGCTAGATCTTTGATGAATTAAAATGATTGCTATTATGATATAGAGTAATCCCTGGACTTTTTATATGGAATCTCTTTTGGATTTTGCTGCTCCAACTTTATTTGGTGTTATCTATAAGAAAGACTAGTGTATACAGCCATGCATCACGTAATGAGAGGACACGTTATAAGAAATGCATCATTAAGTGATTCTGTCATTGTGCGAACATCATAGAATATATTCACACAAACCTAGATAGTACAGCCTCCTACACACCTAGGCTACATGGTATAGGCTATCACTCCTAGGGTCCAATCTTGTACAACATGTTACTATGCCAAATACTGTAGGCAATTGTAACACAATGGTAAGTATTTATGTATCGAAATATAGAAAGTACCTAGGCAGAAAATAGAAAAAGTACAATAAACAAATGATATTATAATTTAATGGGATTGCTGTACTGTATGTGTACCATTGTTCACCAAAATGTCATTATTACCACTGTATATTAGCAGTCAGTTATGGCAGAGTGAGGGTTCAAGTCCATGTGTGTCTAACATCAAGATGTATATTTCTCACATTCAGCCTTGTTACCTCTCTAAAGAAGTACAATTTCCCTTTAAATGGGTTTTGCTCCTGCCAGTATTCAGGCATTATTCTTACAGTAAACACATACTCAGCAGATATTATAAATAACAATCCCAGAGTCAGTCCCCATGGTTAGTGAAGAAAAAAGTGTACATGCATCAGTGCTTAAACACTGCCTTTTCCAGCTACTAAACCACGAATCCTCTAAAATTCCCTGTTAAAATCAATCATTTTATTTTGGAATGGAGGTAATCTTTGACCCTAGTTAAGTCTAAAATGGGAAACAAAAACAAACAAATGTAAAACTGCCATTCTACTAAATACAATGAAAAATTTAGAAACTACCTGGAACGTACAATAGATATTATATAAGGATATGTACATAGATAACAAAAATTCACATGAGCTACTTACTTTAACTATCTGGAAACATATTACTTTCCATAAAACTTAAAAGGATCTTTATTTTGTCTTTAACTCTTCCCCTTGGTCTTTACTTTATGGCTGAGAGTCATTTGGAGAATTACTTTCCATAAAACTGTTCTGATTAATAATCAAATATTAAAATGGTTTGATTATTAATCAGTACATTACCTGCACAGTCGAATGCAATAGTTCAAAAAAACTACCAGTGTGAGACTGCATGCATTATTGTGTGTTTATAGAGAAGACAAAGTAATTTTACTTATGAAAAGAAATCCAAAATCCTTCAAACTGGAGCCATAAAATATTATCAAATCTCAAGAGTTCAGGGTAATATTAATAGTTTTAAAAGTTATCTATTTATAATTATAATGATTTAATATGTGGTATATTAAGAAAATAGAAACAATATATACTACCCGCTGGTAAATCTGAAACCCTGTGGATGCCTGATGTGTGTGGCTAAAAGATTTTGTATCTTTTGATAGTGGTGATTCTAAAACTTAGTAACATTGATATCAATATAACAACAACAAAAAAAAACTCAACCATATCCCTACTCCTAAAAACAGGCAACTTGGCGAGACCTCATCCCTACAATAAATCAAAAAATTAGCCGTGTGTGGTAAGCGCACACCTGTAGTTCCAGCTACTTGGAAGGCTGAGGCGGAAGGATCGCCGGAGCCCAGCAGGCGAGGCTGTGGTGGCCGGGAGCGGCCACTGCACTCCGGTCTGAGCGACAGAGTGAGACTCCAACTCAAAAAAAAAAAAGCAGTTACCAAATGAACAGTAGAGAGTGGACAATTAGCAAAAATATGCAAGTATATTAAAAGTTACCAAGCGCTCATATGTAGCTTATAGTTTTTGCCAGGTCATTCATTAACTCATTCATTCAGGCAATAAATATTTATGAATATTTCCTTTGTGCTAAGTCCTGAGAATTTATCAATGAACAAAGCAAACTTCCTCAGCTCAAAGAATTTCAATCTACTTCTTGACCTATTCCTCAAGGCTGCACTAATATCTGTTTACAAATTGGCAAAGAGAAATTTATAATTCCATTGTGTTGCTGTAAATAGCCATAGCATACCTGAGACAGGTGGGTTCAGTGGAAAAGGAACCAAGAGAAGGTGGATGAATAGAAAGAAAGTGAGAAAGAAAATGAAAGGGGTGGGGGACAAGGAAGAAAAGGAAAGGGGAAAGGATATGAGGCAAAGAACAGAAGCAGGAAGCAGAAAGGAGGATGAAATCCAGAAGTTTTTACAATTTAGCATCAGAAAATCTGAACTCCTGTCTGCATGCTGCCTTGCCTAGATGTGTGAGCTTGAGAAGATTACTTGCCCATTACAACTTTACTTCCCTTATCCTTAAAATAAGACTAACATCTACCTCTCATTGCTATAGTGAGAATCATAAAAAATAATGTGTAAAAACATTTTGTAATCTATAAAGTACTTTAAAATGGAAAGGATAATTATTATCATCAACATCATTATTATGGCTAACACGCCAAAGGTTGTAGAGAAATTGCATATAACTTTTAAATGACATACAAGCATCTCAACATTCTGTTTTT